GAGACAGGGTTTCTCTGTGTAGCTTTGCGCCTTTCCTGGAACTCACTTGGCAGACCAGGCTGGCCTCGAACTCACAGAGATCCGCCTGGCTCTGCCTCCCGAGTGCTGGGATTAAAGGCGTGCGCCACCACCGCCCGGCCGTAAGCACTTTTTAATGTTTGTTTTTTCTTCAAATGAGAAACACTGTTTGAGGTCAGTTGTTTCCACCCTGTGTTGGGCAGCGGGCAGATCCTTCCCTTATGCCCGGCTGCCAGGAGTAAGGAGCAGCAACCGATGGCTGTTTCGAACACTCCACTCTACCTGCAAAGGATCTGCAGCGGTGACTCCTGCTTTGGGAACCTTCCTCCAGGCAAGACCACTCCAGGCAATTTGCACCAACTTCAGCAGACCTCATTCCAAACTAGACAATCCTGGATGGACACTAGGGGACCTGTTCCCCTGGCAGCTCTTTAACTCAGGATAGGAGGGGGGCGCTTCCTCAGTGCCTCAGCAAAAGCTGTTGATTGGTGCAGTGTAAAGCTTCTGATTGGCTAACAAACAAGGCTTGTGACTAATCCACATGCAAGGCTTGTGATTGGTGGAGCTACAAATGGCGCACAAATTGGGCTGTGAACGATGAAATTATAGTCTGTTACACAAGTATGCACACGCTCTCTCTCATGCAGTTTTCTCATGTTCCAGTCTTAGTCTGGGAGGTTTCTCTCCTGGGCGCTGGCACACCCCCTCCATGTGACACTCCCTGCTCCCCCATGCTTCAATGTTAGGTCTCCGAAAAGGCTTCTTCTGAATGGTCTTTTGCCTACTTTTGGGTAAAACAGGCTAAGCATGAAGAATAGACAAAATCCTGGGTTTTCCTAGCAGCAGCAGCTGCAGCAGCAGAGGCCCCTGAAGAGTTTCAGAGTCACCAGGGGCTTTGCAGGTAGAATGGAGTGTGTCGAAGCCACAACACCAGTAGGAGGCTAAGAGTCACAGAGCTAGTGAGAGCTAAGCGCTCAGATGCCCGAAGCTCTGAGCTGCAGCACCCGAGGTTGCAGACTGAAAATCGTAAAGACTCTGGAGGACCTTGGAAGTACTGAGAAGGAAAGAGATGATGGAGAAGAAGCTGAGGCTGCGGAAGATGAGGGGCTGTGAAGAGCTGAAGGAAGAAGTCGAGGCTATGAGAGTTGCCAGCCCAAGATGCCAGAAGAGTTTGAGAGAGCTGCCGAGAGCTGGGAGTTCCCTATACCTAAAGCTCAGGGCTCTACCAATTGCTGTCAAGTGTCAGCCACCCTAAGCAGCTGCCTCTGCCTTGAGCACCTGGAGCAATAAGCCTCCAGCTTAGAGAGCGTGGGAGCTGTAAACCTCTCATCTTTGAGGCTTAGTGCTTTAAGCCCCTGGATTTGGAAGCTTAGATTCGAGACTCTGGAACTCAGGCCCTTCAACATCTAGAGAGCTGCTTGCTCCTTGGCTATCTTTGGTATCTGTCTGGATTGGACGAAAGAACGCCCAGCCAGCTACATATGAATGTGGGTCAGCGTTGATGGAGACTTTCCCCAGATTCCCAGCTATCTCTCTCTCTTTTTTTTTTCCCCATCTTTGAATTCTGACCTGGCCTGCATGTCATCTTGAATGGAGGGAGATTTGGGGATTCCTGTCTTAGATAAACACCGGGAAACTTGTTCCTGTCACAGCCTGAAGAAGTTGCAGTGCCCACCCTGGCTGCCTGTCTGAAAATTTTCTTCATGCATTTTGTCTGGAGTTTTAGCTATTTCAGGTCGGAGTGTACATCTAGTTCCTGTTACTCCATCTTGGTCAGGATTAGAAGTCCTGGTGCTATTTTGAATGGTATTAAAGTTTAAAAATTACAGTTATTCATTGATGGGAAAAACAAGTGAGAGCATGTTCACGTGTTCTGTTTCCTCCCTAGGCAGACCTTCATGGCAACCAATCTGATAGAAAGACCAGGGACCCATGCCTTCCATATCTATGTAGCCTTTTTTAGGGACCCTGGAGTAAGTAGCTCAATTTAACACTCCCTAAAAAAAAAACTATGTTAATACACAGCAAAAAAAAAAAAAAAAAAAAAAAAAAAAAAAAAAAGAGTGATTTTGATATTTGATATTGTATTGCTCAGTCTTGGAGATGTTTCTACAAGCACCATCATGCTGTGAGTACAGAATGTTTCAGTTCTTGCAGTCTCTTTGGGTCTCTCCCCCCGCCTCTGTCTCTTACTGTCTTAGGAACTCTATACAGTGTGGAATAGAGGTGTAAAGAAAGGGCTTTCTCGCCTTTCTCGATGCTGGCATGGAGAGTATTCAGTGCCCCACCGTTATGTGTGATGTGACCGGTAGGCTTTCTGTAGGTGCTTTATCGGGTCAAGAAATTCTCTTCTGTCCTGTTTGTTGAGAGCCTTGCCATGAACGGTTGTCAAGTTTTTATCAAATACATTTTCTGCATCTGTTGAGATAATCATATGATTCATTTCCTTTATTCTCCTGATGTAGCAAACCATGGTGATTATTTGACTAAATATTGTGCTCTTGAGAAACTCTATTTAATCATAACAAATTCTTTCAAAAATCATTTTTACATATTGCTTCTTCTAGTTGTTAATGTTTTATTAGGGATAGTGCATCAATATTCCTAAGAGGTACTGATCTAGTTTTACTTTCGTGTTATGTGTTTGTTAGGTTATAATATCAGTGTAAGACTACTAACCAATTAAATAACCTCTTCCTCAGTTGTGAGAGGTAGAATTCATCAATGGAGCTCTTTGGCTTAGGGATTTCATTGTGGAAATTTTTTATTTTGGGGGCTGTGGCTTAAATCAAGAGCTTTGTATCTTAAGTATGTGTTTACCCCAGCCTTGTATAAAAGTTTTGTTTTGCCGGCGGTGGTGGTGCACGCCTTTAATCCCAGCACTCGGGAGGCTCTGTGAGTTCGAGGCCAGCCTGGGCTACCAAGTGAGTTCCAGGAAAGGCACAAAGCTACACAGAGAAACTCTGTCTCGAAAAACCAAAAAAAAAAAAATAGTTTGGTTTTTTTTTTTAAATAAAAAATTCAATATACTTGGTGGATAAAGGGCTCCTCGTATTTTCTATTTCTCCTGTGTCAGCTTTGGTTATTTGTCTTATAGGGAATCTGTTTACTAAGCATCATTTTAAGATCTACTAGTTCTTACTTTCATTCCTAATATTTGCAATTTGTATCCCTCTCCATTAAAAAATAATTTATCCCATGGTCCTACCTCAGCCAGGGTCTGTGTTGATATCTGTGGTTCCTGTTACCACTGAAGGCCGTGAGGATGCCCAGGAAATAGGCCACCACCTGAGGCCATGTTGGTGTCCAAGGGTCAGACTGCTGCCAGGACCATAATGACATCTGTGCCTGAGCTGCAGCTGAGTACCATGTCTGGGTCCATGATGGCCCTGCTGCAGCAGGGGTCCTTGTTGATGTCTGTGGTGCCTGTTATCACTGAGTGCGTGTTGAAATCCGAGGGCCCTGCTGAGCTGGTCCTGCCCTTTGCCAGCCCTGGGAGATCTGGTCCTGCCCCTCACTGGCTGCTGCAGTGAGAGAGAGCTGATCCCACTGTCCACCGGAGAGGTAGCCCCCAGTGACACCAGCCTTGGGAGATCTGGCCCCAGCCTTCACCACGGACACAGAAGAGCTGAACCTGATCTCATGGGCTCAGGAGAGCTGGCGCTGCCAGGCTGGTCCCAGTTGAGGCCATACTGACCAACTTAGCTACCACCCAGGCCCACATCCAGTTCTCTGAGTTGTCTCACCCTATCATCTACCCCATCTATGACCTGCTGGAGCATGGGAAGGGACTGGTCCTGTGGAACCAGAGCTGTAGGATCTCCATGACCTGGGGTAACAGGAGGATACCCAAGAGGAGTTTTGGTGAGGTTCAGCATTGATGGTGTGCACAAAGCCAGAGGCCTTGAATTAGACCAACAAATCATCACAATAAACAACTGCAAGCAAAGCTGTTTGAACAAAAAGGTATGCTGTGTGACACACTGCAGCTCCCAGTGCCACTAAGATGAACAAAGAGGTGAGGGAGAGGTGGGAAAGATGGAGGAGTGAAGTGGGTTTTATTTTTTAATTAATATTTTATTAAAAAAATTTTTTTTGGGGAGTGCTCCAAGGGTGAAGGGTGGATATGGAAGGACAGGGAAATGAGTGGGATTGGGGTGCATGATGTGAAATTCCCAAAGAATCAATAAAAAAATTAAGTTTTAAAAATAATTTATCTAGCTGTGGGTCTCTTAGTTTTTTCTGCTGTGTAGAACCCTACTGTCTTAATGACTTAAGCAGTGAACACCGGCTTTGTGTTTATGGTGGGTGGATTGCCTCTGGTGGCTCTGACTGTGGGTTTGTTTAGATCTGATCCATGCAACTCACTCTGGACTTGGGCCTTGTAGAGAAGCAGCTACTTGACTGTTAGCTTTCTGCTGCTGAAGGCTGGGGTACAAGGAGGTGATAGCACTTTGTGATTGTCTTACAGCCTCTTTTTGGGACTATATCCTTCAAAAGAATCAAATGAAAAAGGGTAAGGATAAAAATGATTGGGGCTGGGGAGATAGCTCAGAGGTTAAAAATACGGGCTGCTCTTCCAGAGGACCCAGCACTGATTACTAGAGTCGGCATGGTGGCTCGAAACCATCTGTAACTCCAGTTCCAGGGAATCTGATGCCCTCTTCTGGCCTCTGTGGGTACCAAGCACATGCATGGCGTACAGATAAAAACATCCATATACATGAAATAAAAAATAAAAAAATCGAAGTTAAAAAATATGCTTTGAATTTTATTGAAGAGGTTGGTTATGGAAATTTCCTTGGATATTGGTGGTTAGAGCCCTGCTAGAGCATGAAAAGGGAGAGTAACATAGTAAGACTTTGAACATGCTAAGTAAGCATTCTGTCACTGAGTTATAGCTCTCACATGGAAGAGGAGGATTTAGCACAAGCTGAAAGGCTGACTCTGAACAGAGAGAGGGTCATCTTCAGAATGCAAGAGGAAGGAGAAGAATAAAAGAGATGTAGTGTTGAGGGAGCACTTGGCTTTATCATCATCTTATTATTTTATGTGTACTAGTGTTTTGCTTGCACGTATGTCTGTGTATCTTGTGCATCCTGGAACGAGTTACGGACGGTTGTGAACTGCTATGAGGGTGTTGGGGACTGAACATGGGTCCTGTGCAAGGACAAGTGCTCTTAACTACTGAGCCATCTCTCCAGCCACCATTGGCTTTAATTTTACTCAGCAAGGAAAAGGCTAAGCAGCCTGGAGAGAGACAGGAGAAGCAGGCAGACCAGGTAATGATGAGTGACCAGTGGTATAAGAGTATAGGTTCTTTCTGTCGGGATTCCGAAGTCCAGGCTTCAGTGCAGGGCAGGCTGTGGTAGAATTGCCTTGGGGGTCAGGGTGTTTTGGGCTTGTGAGTGGAAGAAAAAGGGAGCCAGAGAACGGAGGATGAGAGTGA